GAATTTAAAGTAAAAAAAATATACAAGTATTGAGAAATATTTACCCGATAATTCAATAAATTTGCAACATCAGATGATTTCTACGGAAAATGAAGTACATTTATAGGAAAGAAAACGGGTTACAAGTTACCATTCACTTCCATATATATGGTACAAACATAGACTGAGCAATTAATCAACTTAAGGTCGGTTCGGAAATGTCACATGGAAGGTCTGATTTACGATGACCATGATATAAATGTAATCTAACTTGTACCAGATCATGACGTGTCCACAGGTACGTGTGGCCATTTCAATATCGGTACATGTGCCAAGCAAAATACTAAGGATGCATTGATACTCAAGATAATAAGATTAGTGGAATTAGGAGTTAGTACACCTTCCATCTCCTTTTTGACATTTAATTCGACTAATTTGGGTCCTCGGTCGCCTCCTAGGTTTCAACAATTCAGGCCCTCGACATTCCTGACGAGTTGTATGAAGCAGCTTCATTCATTGCCTGGCTCTGCTGTATCTAACCCAATATGTGTATATTTTTTGCAGTCTATACTGTATACTATTTTCTTTTTCATTTCTAACTGATTTGCACTTACCGAATAATCATCGGATTTAATCTATAATTATATAAATAAGCTTACGTTAGAGGCCACCGGTATTAATAACAACAGTTAAAACCTGTCATACACTGCTAGCACACGGAACTCCTGGATACAACATTGGTTATCGGTGTGATTAATGTATATCAGTAGTAGGGGAATGTGTGGAGAAGGTCCTCGGGAGATGACATCTTATGGATTAGTGTGTGTTGTTAATAAAGTGGAAGATATTAACACACTCGGAACAATTGACTTATTTAAAATTTTAAAACAGAGGTATTGGTCAGACAATAAAAATAAAAAGGGTACGAATATGACTTTCAGAATCTGGAGATGATATTGACTATATTATAATATTTCCAGACAACATATATTAGTATGAACGTTAAAACGAATGTATTGTATTAAAATACGCTCAAAATTATTCACTAAGTTTAAACCTTGAATCAAATATTTTTGTAAAGTCTAATACAAAAATAATTGTAAAGAGTTATTTACCGGAAACGCAATTTCGATCTAGGTATATTGATTATTGCGTCCAAATTCAAGAGGTGAACACTTAGGTTCACGTGCTGATCTAAACTCTTGTAAATCTAATAGTAAAGTTACCAAATGACATCGCTGATTGTAAACAACACGATTCCATAATAATTTGATGTTAATGAATAACAGACAATTGTTCAGGTATCTTAAATCAATGACCTAGACCTTAGATATTGTCACAACATGTTGTTCAATATCGAACATGTTAAGGGAAAATATTAAAAAAAAAGTACAAATGACAAACGTGATTAATGAGGTGAACGACTTTCATATAAACAGAAAACTCCTCAGGCATCTCGACATTTTTAAGTTTCTCTATGTGAGACAAAAGAAATCTATTTCAACCAATGAACGAGGAGAAATCACGGTATATGACAGATATTCGCTTAACATGTCTGTTTAGGTTGGCGTTCGTTTAGAATAGGGTGACTCCGTAGCGTGGGCAGACACTGTAGTAATATAACAATTTGCTCAAATGGATTCAATTTACTGTCAAAATAGAGAGCAGTATTCCGGGTACCCTTCAAATGGGTACTTTATTAAACTATCCGGTGATATTAATTAACTAATGATTGTTTTTAAGATTGTAAAAAAAAGATACAAGTCATCAGCACCTTCCAATGATAATTAAGAATGAGATACAGTAGAGCCATCTGTTAAACTCCGAAACACTTTTCTTTTATCGTGTGGTGATGACAAGGGAATATGTATATATACGGTGTTTACATCTCATTATTTATATGATTATTGACTTGATTAGGGTAATGTAAAGATTCATCCACCCGTGAATTATGATATTAAAAAACATTGAAGGAATTTCAATTTTCAAGGGCGGGTAAAATTTATATCAAACTAATGAAAAGTCAATGAGGACAACTATAAAACAATACTTGCAGCATTTGTTTTGCCATTCGGCGGATGTTTAATTTCTCTATGCTCCCTCTCATTATGGTAGAAAACTTCAATTTGGCAACAGTAGCTGGTTCTACGTTATTAACTTGTGCCATGTTATTTGTTTTTAACCACGCGCCACATCTTTGTCTGCAATTTTATTGGGTAAAAAATAAACAATGTTAAGAAACCCCTCGATGATAATTTAAGATCCGAGTGAAAAGATTCGGGGTGCATTAAGATTCATTATGTTAACCTTATGTACAGTTGACGCAATTTTGAAGTTGATATTGCATTTGGGCAAAACTTTACACCCACATTTTTGCAAATTAGAGAAGGACAAACTGTCAAAAATACCGACAAATATTACCGCTGAGTGGCAGCTACTACACTTTTATATAAATTTCCCAAGTGCATTGTTACAGTCCCCTGCTTTTTAATTGACGACGCAATGCGCTGTTATACGTCATTTTTATCAAGTGATTGCAAGTGTCCAGAATCATTACCCTATTTCACACCAGCAAAAAATAAAAAAAAGAATAATTTTATGATGTATGATATATCGTATCTGATTTAACATTTAAATTTTGATTTTGAATTTGAAGGCGTAAAAAGTTAGTGGTTTACTCCTTGCATGGCCAAGGACTGGTTGTTTATTTCTTGTTTACTTGTACTGATGAAGGGAAGTGATGATCGTGTATATGAAGGAACAGCGTAGTTCATGTACCATTTGCACGAGGCTAACTTTCCCTGATCAGGACTTGTAAGCAGCAAAATTCACAAATAATCCTGTTTTTACATTACCTTCGGGATTTTACATTTTACCGTATATAACGATGTAGTTTTCACTTTGTAACATTGTTATCGTAAACTCATATGATTCGTCACCAAGCAACAAAAATATAGTTCCAAAACTCGATTCCATTATAATAATACTAATATACTTCAATCAGTCATTTAATTTTAACCTTTTTGATGTGTAGGAAATGAGATGAGTATGATGAACAACTTTTAATGTGTGTTTAGCTTTTTAGCGTAGCGGTAACAACTCGGTGAGTTTGTAATTTGAATACACTCTACGCGAGGCCCATGCTGTTGGCTGTGACAATTTGGAAATGGAAACAGATTGTTGTTATTTAAAAAAAGACAATGTTGACATGAAAGTTCATGGGAATGGTGTTTTGGAAGGCCTAATCTAGTGACACGAGGTGCCGATCCGGTGGAAGCAGTTAGATCTCTGGAACAAGTGTGAAGAGTACAAGGTAAAAGATAACATACATAAGACCATAAAGCCTGGACAAGGCTCAGCATCAGATGATACACGAGAAAAATCCCCTAGTATTAGGTAATTACTGACGAGGTGATTGTGATGGGAATGTTTATTCAGGTTATGTGTTTTTAACTGTCTCCATTAATTATATTGGCATTAACACCGTTGTTTAAAAAACTGTGTGAACACATGAAGAGTGTGCAGCAATGTTGCAAACCGATGCACAGTTTTATCTTTTCACACATAACAAAAGCTAATTGTTCACTATTTTTCCTAAAATTAATTATTTGGACTATACGTTTGTCTTTTTCAGGGCAAAGAGAACCGATATTGCAAAGCTATGGCGATGATAATTAATTTTCGCTGTGTCTTCAAATCTACAAGTAAATATTTCAAGGCGACTACAGAGAAGCCATACTAACTCTTAAGCGTTAAGTAAATTGCATATAATGTCGCGACAAACAAAACAAACGATACATCTATTACTTATGGTAATGAACAGTGGTGAAGTTCATTTAAATGCTGGGAAAAACTTGATTAGGGTTTGTTGAAAAATAAATTAAGGAATCAGAGTAAAGGATGTGGCATATCCTGTAATTATTTTTATTTACTCGAATATATCATTACATAAGACGATTTTTTGTGCAGTTTTTTTTCAAGTTTTCGCAATTAAACAGAATTATGATGCAAAACGGATTTTCGTGGCAGAAAGTTTGAAATCACATATTTCCACAGCATAATGAATTCGCGGTTTTGCCCTGTCGTCGATATAGCGAAAATAAATCCCCTCGATAAGTGCAACCTTTACGGTAAATCTATCTTCAATGCAAATTGCGATCTTCTTATTCTTTAATTCATATACAAATTGTCTCCTACTTAACGAAATGGCACAGGGGATATTTGTCAGTTGCTATGTAATAAATCCGTTTTATGTTTTCAAAATAATGTTTAATCCTGAGTTCTGGATGTGTTTTCCACGCCTAACTCTTGAATCATGATAAGTACATCAAAATAAGGAATCACTGACTTTGTTGACAATAATTACATTTATAAACAATAAAATCGTGTTACATGTGACACATTTAAGACAATTAAATTACGTACATAAAAGAAAAACAAGACTGATTTGCTTGGTAGACATGTGTACATGACCTTTCACTATAAACTACTAATATCACAGTGATTACTAGCAGGTCAAATTAATAGTAAATATATCGACTCCACCAGGCGACGTCATCCTCGGAATATGACTATCAGTACACCTTGTCAATACATTACATAATGGCTCTCTTCTTGATTCTTTGTTTCATAGATGGTATTATCTTTCTAAAATTTATTTATAATAAAATGCGAAAAATGACATTGGTCAGAGTAGGTGATTAACGTCACAGAATGTATCTAACAGAAACAACACGATGAAATCACGTAAGATATATACAAAAGCATACATCCAATGAAAATCCGGAACATAGAATGATGAATGGTGACTTCCACTTCGCTCCGAAATTTTGATAACACCTAAAAAGTCCCAAAAGAAAGGTAGAAACCGACTTAGAAAAATATTCAAGAGAAAATGACATATAATAATTTTAGTTTTGTATTCTGTACAAAAATAAAAAAATAAACTTCCGGTAGAAGAATCCTTTCGTTCGATATATTTTGATTCAAGCTGTGCAATCATTTAATTATGACGTCATTGATTATGCAAAGTTAACAAGCAGTAGGACGAGTGTAATGATGGAGATCAGTATCCCGCATGCGCAGTAGAGAGTTCCCCGGTCGGCTGCACTGTTATTGGGTTCTTCTTCCGTTTCATTAAGTGACGTCTGCAAAGATAAAATGGTCATAAAACTTTATGTAACATAACACGCTCTTTAACTTTAATTCAACATTCAAATAAATCAACTATCGCTTAGTTTGAACAAATCTTTTCATTGATAAACTACTTCCTTTGTTCAGAATTTACACGCTAAAACACTCCATGTGGCTGTTTTCCCGATTAGCAGGCGGTGAGAACTGCAATAAACATGTTGTTATCAATATCGATTGCTTGCTTGTTTGATTTTCATAGCAGCCAACTTTTTCTGCTAAATAAAGGCAGCCATACGGGTAATTCACCATAAAAAATGCAATACTGGTGACAAGATTGTAATTTCATGAGATGTACATGGTTACATGTTAGTTTTTGCCGTTGTAATAATTCTGTCATTCTTTCATCTAGATGTATACCGAAATCCCAAATTTAATTTCGCCTTTGGTTTGTCATGTACAGTTTAGCGAAACACGTTCTTGGTTACAATTCACTTATTTGTGTCCCAAGTACAACAACTGTTCCAGAACTGAACTCATGATTGGTTTGTAAACAATAACAGTTCCATTCCCAAACCGTTTGTTGATAGATAAACATTTCCTTCCAATCCTATACTGTCACTGACTTATAGTATGTTCTATAACTGAGCATGATATAAACGGTATACACCGTTCTCTGACACGCGAGTGTTAGTTAGTGTAAACAATATCTTATTCAATATTTAACAATATAACATATACATATGATACTATAGGATGGAAAAACAAACTTAAAGCTTATATTTATTCCTTTCCCAAACACATATAAAAGCAAATTAATTTTCGAAGCTGGAAACACTTTACTTGTATGGAATGGATAATTGAAAAAAGTTTAACAATTAGCATATTATATACATGTGGCGAGTCATCACGTCATCAAATGTTTATAGGTAGTTTCCCTATATTGCTAAAGTTTATCATACCATACCATAACTTACATATTTAAAGACTGGAAGCAAGAATCTTAGCTAAAACGTTTGCTTAATTTAACATAATTTTGGACCGTCAAAAATGTTTTATCGTTTTCTTGCTTTGAGTAAGCGTCATGTCCCCGTTAAACAGTTTTTTCAGTAACTACGATATCTACCTTTATAACGTATTTTGTCTTATAACGATATAATTGTCATAATATAGCAATGAATGGTGGATACTGCTTGTATTCAATAAACAGTTTCAATGAGGCATTCGTGGATGTACTGAAACAATAAAGGCAAACTAGAATGTTAAAGATTGTATCTAAAAACTAAAAACCAAGAAAGCATCGCCAAATTATGAACAAATGCCTAGGTGATATACAAGTGCGTTTTCACTGCGCCATCCAGCAACCCAGCATTTCCGTCCTTCTATGGCTCTCCAATGATGCTTACGGCCAAAACCGTAACGCAAATTCTGACAGAAAATCAAATGTTCAACATGCTATTTCTTATAATTATAATTTTGTTTTTCTCGTGAACAGTCTTGAAGAGTACCCACCAATGACTCTCGCGAAGATATGAAGCAATATCGCAAAAGGAATGGCAATTGGGTTTGTTACCATTGGAATGGCCTGACGACTCGTTAACTCAGCTGCTACTGGTCGACGCTAAACTGATTGTTTAACTGCTGTGACATTCTAATAGAAAAAATAGAAATATTCCCCTGGAGACATTAGTGGTGACTGTGGTAATGAGAACGGAGTGTAATTACTGACGACACTGCGTCTGCTTTCTCGTGATTTACTTCTATAACATAGAGTTTGTGTGCTTATTAAGATATTATTTCCGAGCAAGGACGGGTCTTGTAGTCATATTTATCCTGAAACCCAATTTAACAAACCTATCTCATTTTACTTCAATTCTCCATAGTCCCTTTATAAACAATCCTGAATGGAAACTACTAGCCTACTAAATCCTTGTATTTTGAAATTGCTTAAAAATGGCGGTTGGGTTTCGTTATATATCCAGATAAGCTGTTGATGTAAAGGTGTCTGCCGGGACCTTGATTTTCAAAGCAGTATCATGTTTAGTTTGTGTGCAGTACTATTATAGGAAGGATTTTTGTTGTATTTTAACCAGTCTTTTAAACTTGTATTTTCACCGTTTAATGTCGTTTTAAAACATGACTACTGATGGAAAAATGTAATGTTAAAGCAGGTGATGGATGTTTTGAGAGGCTGCGATATGTTAAGGTTATTCTCCTGTTGGGAGTGCTGAACTGAAGCCGACACCAGACAAGTCTGTCCATACAGCGGCGTTAATTTGGTCTTATCTATATCGTTTAACGTTATATCAACGTATTTAGTGGTCAGACTCCCGCCGTACACGTGGTTAGTTAAATGTGTGTTATACGTTTCATTCTGTTGATGCTACAAAGCTGTCAATGGCCATATCAACCCACTCTGTTACACTATACTGAGCCAGCTGTTACTCGACCATTGTTGTGAATTAAGATCTTCTGATGAAATTCAAATTATTCTGAGAAATGGTGATCGTAGATGACGAAGAGTTCAACAAAGAAGTCAAATAAGGACACTAAAATTCACAATTATCTCCCCTACATAAATACACAAATGTTACACACATGGATGATTTATAACACCATAGTACTGGAGACTTTCGGCGGAAGAACAAAATCACAAACCTTCTTTATTGGGCGAAACATAATACAAAATATGAAAGAGTGCCAAGGAAAACACTAGAACCGTCGAGAAAGGATAGAAAAGATAATATCCCAAATATAGTGTCCTCTTACGATTTGGCAGTTGTGGCAGTAGGTACAATTCTAACCTCAGTCAATCCAATCGGGAGCGTGCCTCTGGTTCTTATATTGGTGAGCCAGGTATCATTTCAACTCTCCCCAATGGACACGCTCCGATGCCCCAACAACTATATGTGTCACTTTTAGACGTATCTGTAGATAAATCCTCCACGAAATCGTGTAGAGAACTGGGAATATTTTGCTTTGCAGCACTCACTGAAAAAGATAACTGATGTCGGAGGCATAGGAATGCAGGTCAAGTGAGTGTTTCAACCCCATTATTTCGGGTTTCGCCTTTATCGATTTTCAAACACCAGTTTACCATAGGCGATCATCTCATGCAAGTAACACTGATTTTGATACAGTAGTTTGGATCAAATAAACAAATTATGTAACAAAATCCTTTTAATGACTTATTTACACGTAGAATGACGTCCTGATGTGAAAACCTCTATATATATATTTCCGTAATATACGAGCGGTTTTTAAAACGCATTGAAGCCATTAATTCAAGCCTATATTTAATCAGTGCCGGATTCCGCTTGGTAACCAATAGTTACAGTTTAAGCGCATGCTCAATCCCTTGTGATTGGTCAGGGTTGATGAGGATAAGATCAGTAAAGTTTATATAGGGATATTGTTATTGGAAGATACTGTTTACGGTATCGAAGTGCCACCTAGCGAGGAAAAGTAATTAGTCACAATGAATCAAGACTAGACAGGCGTGTTTTATCCTTAATTAGGTAGCATTGGACACGTGTTCGGCACACAATTTGATAGGATTTCTAAGATATAAACACAATCGTTTAATCAGATGGCACATCGCTACATTCGTAGAGTCTAAAAATCTAGAATACGTGCAATGTGAGAAGGACAGAGAAAATAATTACATAACAGTGTCTAACACGTGTTAAATATAATGTCCTTTCAACTCCACTCTATATGTAATGATCTGAACCTAATGTCTAAATCTAATCATGTTTACATTGTTATGCTTTACATCAGTAAACTCTCTCTCATATATGTATTTTTATCATCCAAAAGGGATCAAAGGTTAGACAATGATATCTCTCAAATAAAGTCCTCAAATAGGACAGTATACAGTATCATTAATGCAAAAGGCGGTTCATGGTGTTATAAATCAACATGTGACTAGGCATTAGTTATTTCTTTACTGGTCATGGGAATGTTCATAATGACGAGGTATTGAAGTTTAGTCATGTCATGTAACAAAGGAAAAAACTCGCAACATTCATACTAATAAACGATATATGCTACATATATATAATACTGTGAAAGCCTTGTTAAACTATTCAATGTTGTACTTGTTTGAGAAGACCAGAATTCTGGAAATCTTTACATGGTAATCAGGCAGCCAAATCCGTGAGGAGTCAACTTGGAACCAACAAAGGCCGGATATGAATATATGTAAATATGTGACAAAATTAAACATACGAAGAAGATGAATACCACTACAGATTAGGGTGTGAAATCTCCTTGTCTGTAGGCTGAAGTATGGCATGTCTAGTCGTGGAGAGACATGGAAATTGGCCACAACGGTAATCTCCATTGCTAAGTGGTCGTCTTTGCGGAATTTCCATACGTATGTAAAGGTCTTCATTACCGAACTGTATATTATGTGTTTGTCGTTTTCTTAGTTCACAGGTCAGCCGACACAACAGGAATGCATAGCAACGCGTACAATGCCAACAGGAGGTAAACATAGCATTCCGTGATATTGAAGGGCCATCATGAACAGTGGCTGCTGTTGGCGTGATTCCTTTTCAAAGTCTTGACCATTGTGTTCGTAGTGATTTGACTATCATAAATTACTATTTATCATTAATTATCAACTATTAGAGCATGTAAAACATGCAATCTGCTGTGATGAAATGACAGCATTAAGTCAGTGATATATAGTTGTAAGGCATGTCCATCCCGCCTATCAATGTTTATGCAAGGAAATTCAAATTAATTACACTCATAGAATTTGAGAGAGCCTATTGCTTGTTAATAGTACCGCTGTTTAAGGGGAATCAAAAGTATATCAAAATGAAAAAGTGGTGTTCAGGTTTCAACGGAAAAATTCAGAATTTCATTTTATAAAACAGAATGATAAAAATACGTATTTTGTAAAAAAAAAACTATGTATTTGTATTTCTGACATATTCATACCAATAGAATATTTTCTTTTCCATTCATAAATGATCATTTTAAGGACAAGAATTTTCGTTGCAATGCT